AAATCCTTTATTGACCATTCCTTCATCTCTGTCATTGATATGATCAAAAACAGCAAAGATTCTAATACTGAGTCTTAAGGTACTCCACTCATGACATTAATTATTGACCATTCCTTCATCTCTGTCATTGATATGATCAAAAACAGCAAAGATTCTAATACTGAGTCTTAAGGTACTCCACTCATGACATTAATTATTGACCATTCCTTCATCTCTGTCATTGATATGATCAAAAACAGCAAAGATTCTAATACTGAGTCTTAAGGTACTCCACTCATGACATTAATTATTGACCATTCCTTCATCTCTGTCATTGATATGATCAAAAACAGCAAAGATTCTAATACTGAGTCTTAAGGTACTCCACTCATGACATTCATTTTTTTAGCAAGCCTTTTATGCATTACCTCGTCAAATGCATTCTGAATATCCACACCCTTACCCTCATCTACATAAGCAGTAACCTCTTCAAAGATCTCAAAAGATGAGTAAGGCAATGTAAATAATTATTGTTGTTAACTCTACATTTTTAGAGCAAGTTTCATGAGCCTAAGTGTTGATTCATGTTGTAATTAAATCTACAATGATTGTCATGTTCCAAATCTGAATATTAAATTGTATGGAAAATTATTTATATAATTGTAATTATTCCCATAAACCAACTGAAAGTACATAAAAAAAAATGCATGTAAATGACATGATCAAATTCAGTTAATTTTTAGCCATTATATATTTTAGTTCTTAGGAGAAAGGCTTCATTGTATTACAGAAGTTTTCCACTAAAAATAATACACAACTACTTTTAAAAGAATTAGCTGTAATTAAGAGGATATTTCTTCCAATAAACCAAGAACAGTTTGCCCCCGATGAAGAAAGGTCCACCTTTTGTAAGCACTCGGGTTTTTATCATTTTGTAAAAAACTAAAATCATTTATCTTTAGAATATTTTGTCTTTCCTTAAATACAAATAGAAACTTCTGAAAACAATTCACCTGTGTATGTTTATGTGCAAGCAGGTGTACAAGTAAAATGAGAATATTAGTCATTAAAACTCGATAAAATCTTTTTTTTTATTCTGACAAAGACATAACAGAAACAATATTACATTAACTACCTATTTGGTGGGTATATATATTTGGACTTGTGCAACTTGCACCTTACACTTTAGATTTACTTTCACAAATTTACTTTGGCCAATTAATGAATTAGATATTCATTTAAAAATCTTATATATATTACAAAACTGGCCATGCTTACTAAAATCATGTATTCTGTAAGCTTACAACAGTAAACTAAAATAGTGATTATAACGATGAGTGAATCATGTTCTACTTCAGAGTTTAGATTAAAAAGTGTCACAAAAATAGTTTATTGCTTCTTAAGGTGATATAAAAATGAAACATCTTATCATAAACAAAAAGATTTTAATAAAAATTGTAAATAAAATTCCAGATCAAAACAGTTTTCTTTTCCTCAAACAGAACCTACCATCGAATAGGTCTTCCTTAATAGCACTTTCTACCTTATCAAGAATTTATCACACAAACACTTTAATATCAGTTACTCGTGATTTCTCTCCATCCTGTGTACTAGCTTCGAGTTATATGGATAAGAAGACTTCAAAATACTATTCTCTTCCAAACTGCATTCACCTCGGAATGCTATACCTAATATCTTTGTATTTCAGGTTAATGTGAAGTTTTTGAATGGTATACTAATGTAACAATCAGCCTTCTTGTTGTGTCCATCAAGCCAGTGGGGCTGAAAATGAATCCCACACTCTTGGCTATTAATATTTCTTTTCTTTGATGATGGCCTCTCATTATATAATTGCTTTTGTAGCACTGTGCATACGTGCAGAAATAGCACTTTCATACTTATCAGAGGAAAAGTACTAGAAACGTTTGTTTGCAGTGATAATAAAGGAACCATTATATATTTCTGAAATCTTCTTCTTCCCTGGGCACTACTAAAATTACACAGGAAACAATTTCCACTTGGGACTAAAAAGAACCCCCTACTTCCAGACGTGGCTACGAGCTTAGTGTCCATTGATAAATAGACGCTGGTGTTTTCTTTCTTTCCGATTCTGAATACTAAAGATTGCTAATACACTTAGTAATCCAAGAATTAAAAAAAAAGAACTGATAATTTGAAACTTTTTTGTCCCTTCACTTGCTATTTAACATGACACTTCTTTCTTGATAGTAAATCAAAGGCTTGCTAGTTACTTGTAATTAAAGTTGAAGGAATGATAAGTGCATCTCAGTGTACAAAGTTTATCTTCTAACTTAAAAAAATCGTAAATTGCATTACTTGCTTTGTGATAAAATGTCAAAAGCTGGAGGGGTTTCAAATACAAGGTTCCCTGCAATTCATTTTGAGTTTCTAGTCATAATTGTGAACATATACCATTTCTGTATTTTCCGAGAATAAATCTCAAACCTTCTAGATATTTGCATTTGAAAAAAAATCAACAGTGCTAATGGAAGCCAGTATTAAATTATTGAATCTTTCTCCATCAAGATTCAACTTTGACTAGGTATATTAAAGTCAAACACACAATAATTCTTAGGTACCTTCCTTATAATAGCTTCAGTTTTATATTTCTGTTTTACAGAACTACATATATTGGTCAATAAACTGTTGATAGTTTTGGTCCTTCAATTATTGTGTATCACATTCTTCACATTGAATAAGTTATCTTATTTAACCAATGGATCTGAAGCTTTAGAGATGATTGAATAATATGTGGTAAAGAAGAAAGTACCAATCAGATTTTAAATTTCTTGATAAATATAAAGACAATGTGTATTCGTTGACCCAAATTGCAACGTTACCGGGAGTAGGTTCATTCACCCATGTAGGTAAATATAACTAGATCACAGTCTGCTCATTCCTGGCAGTGAACAATCCTATACTGGCTAGTTTCCCAGACTTGTAGTTCACATATTATAACTAGATCACAGTCCATTAATTCTGGCAGTGAACAATCCTTCTATACTGGCTAGTTTCCTAGACTTATAGTTCACATGTTATAACTAGATCACAGTCTGCTTATTCTGGCAGAGAACAATCCTTTCATACTGGTTAGGTACCACAGACCTTGAGGATACTATTTCAGTACCCTCTAGGTGTGAAGGACAATTTTGTGCCCTTATTTTGGCACTATGATATACAATAACTATATATATATATATCTCATGTATCTTACTTCAGATATCTACGTTATATTTTTTGCCAGACAATTCTGGCATGATATCCCTCATTATTTGAGCATAGTTCATACAGTATGCACTATTAGAAGTTTCTGATTGTTTCTTTATATTTTGATAAACTTCATGAATTAGTAAGATAATCACTTTGGTTTACGAATAAACCTCAGTACTAGGTAGCCCATTATTCGAAAAACTGCGAGAAAAATCACCAAAATAAAAGTATTGGCCCACAGAGGGAACGCCTGACCTTGTTGATTAATGATATCTTCTATCGGAATAAATACTGAACTGCCAGAACGACACACCTCAAACTGCGAATTAGTTGACGCACACCTGAAAGAGAGAAAAATAAAACTATTATTCTAACAAACATATTCTAAAAAACTCAAGCAGGTAATTTTCTCAACTTTTTGTTCAAATATCAAAATGTATGTAAATAAAGCTTGTTACTTGGTGATGACAATTTAATACTCTTGAAGACACTCGTTTACATAAATATGAATACAGTAGCCAATATCATAAATTTGCAAATTACTTTATTTAAATGTATTTACACAAGAAAGACACTTAAGCATACTACACTTTAAAACTAAAAAATGCCTTGAGTAAATAATTCTTGTATTCAAATAGTTTTTATTGGTTCATGATTATTTACTGAATATATCTTACAAACGAATTAAACAGAAGCAGTAATTCATATTGGAAAATGCTTTCTGTGGTTTATAGCAAAGTATTGCTGAAAAGAAACTTCTACAGGGGGGAAAAGGGGGTTTAAAAACAACAGAAAGAAAGCTGTAGAAAACTTCATGAAACTGAACATTATGAATTCTTGTTAACACCAAGTAATCATGAACAAACAAAACAAACAATGTATTTCAAACTTTTATAAATATTTTCTGAGATAATATAAAATATATCTTTATAAAAAAAATTAGCTATTATGAGTTTGGTATCTCCTCACCGAATTGGTGGTCCTCCACTGAACTCCACTATCTGCATGTTTTGATAAGCATAATGAACAATAGAAAGGTATTGTAGCCATTGAAGCCATGGAGGAATGGAAGAAGAGTAATAACCTCCAAACAACATGGTGGACAAAGAGTAGAGAGCAGAAATTGTTACTGAAACTTGCAGGTCAGTACAGGATGCCCCAATAAACAGTCCAACACTCTGTAAAAAAATAAATAAATAAAATCTAATTTAATTATTGTTTGTTGCAATTTTATAACTTAACTTATTATAAACCTTTGGAGTGTTGAGATACTCAATGTGAGGTGCTGATGGAGATAGTAACCACATATTTAAATTATCATGTATAAATCAAATCTTGCAACAAAAAAAAGCCAACTGTAGAATGATAATGGTTGGAGACTGCTTGAATGGGTAATGAAGAAAAACTTATATTAAAGTTTTTCTTCATTACTCATTCAAGCCATCTCCAACCATTATTAGTCTCAAAGTGAGTTCCTCGTCATCAAATTTGAATTCAACTGTAGAATGGCTGGCAAGTCTTGTTTTGTTTCAGAAAGGTCTAATAAATGTTAACATGTTTAACTAAAACTATAATTACAAGTTATTTTCATCAATTATATTGCTATGCTTTGATTAGAACTACAAAATCTACCTTCAGCAATACAAAGAGCTTTTGACGTTTAATCATTTATATCTCTAGTATGCAACATAGAAAAATCTGTGTGAATAGTGTTTCTCAAATGCTGCAGTTTTAAAATACAAATACCAACGATTCATATGCCACATAACTAATTCTTAAATTCTCTTTCAAAAAATATATTTACAGTTTGCAAAATTAACCATATTTTCTTTTTTTTATTAATTGTTTACAAGGAAAAAGTTGTTTTTCCCATGAGGTGGTGGTATTTGCTAAGATAATTGCAACATCCACCAGAATTATGGACTGAAGCAAAAGACATCTAATTTATTAATATCTTTTCCTCATGTATACATACAGAAAAAAAAAAATTGTACAAAAAATACTATAAAAATGCAAATTCCAATTGCTTGTCATGATTAATCACTTGGGCTATGACACACAATACTGTAATATTAAATATACAAGTTCCCACTAACTGTCTTGGTTTCTCACTTGAGCTAAGACACTGAATACTATAATAATAATACATGTTTTAGCTAGTTGTCATGGTTACTTACCTGAGCTACAATGGTGTTGAGGATGAGGAAACCCCAAAGACAAAGGAAGGTCTGTGAACTATAGATGCCTAACATAGGGTAAGATATAAAATGAAAGACAGTAGGTAAAGTTAATGTTAGAGGTAATTCTCCAATCATCTTGGCCAGATAGTAGGCAGACAGTCTGTAAGCTCCTGAAGCTCTTTCCTTGTTTATCACTTCCCGTTCTGGAGGAACTGCAAAAAAATATAAAAAACGCAGAATGAATACAAACTATAATGGTTTAATACCAGCATACAAGTTTAGATTTATTGGCTTACACATAAAAAAAACATGTTTCTTAAATTCTAGAAGAGCCATAAAATACAAACATATGTTACTTTTATATATTCGTGAATATATTACATAATTGCATATATGTATAAAAACTTTGCTAGTACTGTCAAAAAGTTTGCGTTCACACATAATAACTTATAGTTAATAGTTTTATATACAACATAATGTTAAGTTTTAAATAAGGTTGATAATATTATGAGATACAGAATGGGAAACATCTGCTAATTTTGATACTTACAAGAGATCAAAGCTCCAAATAATGCAAACAACATCCAATAAGTCATACTGAAGAACATCTGAAACAAATATAATACAGATCTTCATTCTTGAGAACAATAGCTTAAAAACAATCCATTCAAATTAAATTTTAACCGAGTTTTACAAGATATTTTATAAATATTAACTAAAAATATCTCCTGCCTTCTTCATAGATTTCTAGATTAGTATGATGTTCCAAAATATGACACATTATACTTAATATTTTAATTTTTCACATTTTCTAATGGCTATTTTAAGGTAATATACAGAATTTCTGTTCAGAGATGAGAATCAAAGAATTTAGGCTAGCCATAGCAATGAGAAAGGAACATGTGTACATTCAGTATATTAAACTGAAACCTGTATTGCACATAAAATGCAAAGGCATTAATTATTTTAGATTTTATTTTATTTTTTGTAGTGTACAGTGAATCCCAACTTTGTTTTTACTTAAAAATATCATCTACATTGCTCTTAATCTCTAACTTTTTTTTTTTATATATACACATTTTCTGTTAATAGTAGTACTGGTAACAATTTAATATGGTTCCAATAATACAGGTGCTCACCCAACCCCGGATGTCCCAGAGCGTTGGCTCTGTCCGTTGAACTTGGAACCAAATAAGTCCACAGAGAAGACCTAACCCTAGAGTCTGAATCCAGTTCAACTTGGACAGCATGCGGCTCTTGGCTTCTAGAAAGTTACGCTGAGTAAGAACTTTAAGTTGTGTCCAGAAGGACGTTGGCCACTTTTCTTCTTCTTCTAGATCATCCTGACTACTAAATGTTGAGCTAACAACTCCAGACCATGAAGATCTTCCTGAATCATTATCATCTTGATGAACTGCTTAAAAAAGTAGTGAAAAAAATCAGTTCTAATAAACAAAAAAAAACTAACATAGGCAAAGAAACTTTTGAAATTTTAACTTCATTCAGTTCATTATGCAAGAATAGAAAGCGATTCTTTTAACACGCTACATTATATTCTATCAAATAATAAGTACAACTTGTTATAGGCACCTAAACATTAGTTGAAAAGAAAACTATAGCTCTTTTTAACAATAAACCAGTAGTTATCTGAAGACAACTGATTATAATGTCTTCTATCTTTAAACAAATATTGATGTTCAATTGGCAGCTATAGGCTTGAAAATTATTCACTCTTCTTATAAGTGTGTAAACCTTTTCTTTCAATTTAGGAATAAAACTAACCTATTTTCTGATATATAGTTCGTAATTTTTTGTCTTGATCAATGATGACTTCTACTGGCCTGGTTTGGTCATGTTTAGATGAAGGTGGTATGTTCCATATGTACGGCGTTGAGGTAGAGTGAGAAGATGGCTCAGTGCTCTCCAGATCATGTTTCACAAGCTCACTAGGATTAAGTAATAACACACAGAAATCAAGTATTAAATTTCCCAGACTTATTGGGTTCAATCAAAAGTATACACAAAGCATTTGTTTTCATTAAGTATGAGAAAAATGGAGACCTTACAGAAAATTTTCAGTAAATCACAAAGTTAAAGCAAAAATATCCTAATGGAAAATGGCTTAAAATCCAATTTCTACAAACTTGTTTTATAAAGAAATATAGTTAATTAAACAGTAAATATTCATTGTTCTTACCAGTTACGAAGGTGTTCCCAGGGTTGTTTATCGCAACTTTGAAAATCTAGGGCAGAGCTGTGAGAGCAAACAGTTTCATCATCTTCACTGGGCAGACATAGCATTTGTTGAAATTCTAGGTTCCTATTGTATAAGCATGTTAAAAAGTTACGTAAAATAGATTCTAGTTTACAAAAAGTTCTGCTTAGAATTATCGATTCAGATTGTTGTAAATAAAAGTAATGCTATATATAACTGCATTAAGTCCTAGCTGTACAGATAATTCCACTAAGAACACATGTAACTGTAACAAGATTAATTATTACAAAGTTGGCTACTTATAGAATTATGCTAAGAACTGGTGCAACAGAATATTTCTTTCTTACTTATGTATATATATATGTATGTATATATATATATATATATATATAGACACACACACATTTGTTGTTGATTTTCGTATTTGTTTTGTAGCAAAACGCTCAAAAAGTGAAATATAAATATTCTTGTCCTATACTATACCATTCATCGAGATGACATATCTTGGTGTGAGGTACAGAATAGTCATGTTTCTCTCCATTTCTTTTTATCTGTACTATTTCTCTGTATTTGCTAAGGATACACCCGGGAGAAGCCAGCCTTCTTACCGGGTTTAACTGGGATTTTTAGAACGGCTACAGATCTAATTGAGCCAGTCAGAAGCTGGGTTTAATTCAAAACAGCCAATGTAATTTATTTTAAGAAACGTTTATAATAACAAGAGTACGCAAGCCTCACAAGATCGCGGTGATCAAAGGCTGGCACAAATTTAATTATTATGTGATTATTCAGGGAGTTTAAGGATAGAAACAATTAAAGGCGAGTTTCACTAAATGATATGCAGTGACTTGATTGAAAAATACGATGATTTATCTTGACTTGGAGGTTATTTCGGAGTTTTAAAGTTCGAACTATAGTTAGGCCTTATTTAGGATGACGACGATTGGTGATTACCAATGTATTTACAGCTATGAAAAACCAAAAGCTCGAACTTGCGTATAAATAAATTGAGACACCCGAAGTAAGTACCTTTTCCATTATTAATATATTTTTGGGGTTTGGTTTAAAATATCGTTGGCCTCCTCCTCAGTATTAACTGCGAGCCACCCTAGGTAAAAATAAAGTTCAATCCACATAACGCTAACGAATTAATTTTTTCAATAAACGTTTGCCACCTTCACTTGTGAGCCTAATTCATAAATAAACTTTTCATTTTAATCATTAAACTACTATAAGACTAAATTCACAAACAACGTTTCTAGAAATTCCGAGACTAATGGTTATTACGTCTAACTTAATTATCTTTTATAGATAACACGTAACTCACTATGTAATCAACTAGTAAAATAGACGGACGCGATAACTCTTGCTACTGACTCATCGAACTTAATAATTTCGACTGAATCGCAGACCTAGCTCAATCTGTACTCACTGTTTCACTGCTTAGCTTATTAACTAACTGGCACTGAACTAGTGTATTAACCAATCAGTACTCATTAGTAACTTTCATGAATTTTCTAAACCCTAATGTCATCCTAATCACAAGCTCCCTCTAGCAAACATCTGATTAAAACGTTGAATATATAGCTTAGAACTATAAACACACTCATATAGCTCTCCAAAAAATTTATGTTTCTTATAACCATATAAAAAAGTAAGGATATTAAGATGACTTTACCTAGCTTCAAGCGCTGCGGTGATAATTTTCTCTTGTGTTTTGGAATCTTTCTTAAGTTGTTCCACTGAAACAAAACATGTAGGCTCAGTTATTCGTCATGAAATAATATACTTCTTAATTTCTACACAATCAAAAACATAAACTTAGATCTCTCATCCTAAGAAAGTTTTTATTTACGACATAACTCAATGAAAATAAATTTACCAAGTTTGGTGAATAAAATAATTTAACCGCTAGTTTTCAAACAATGTGGAAATAAACATGAATCATAAGAGCAGAAAATACTCTACAAACAATGACTTGTTATAAAAAAAATAAATTGATAAGTTGGCTATAAATAATGCATTTCTTGAGTCACCCTTTTTACCTATTCTTAACCAATCATGGTCTGGAGTCCGGGATGACATATATATGGTAAATGCATATATCGCAAAGGTTATACTTACTAATGAAGTCAGCAGGGTTATAATGAGGTGTTATCTGTAGTCCTACACTGCTGAAAAAGTCAACAACTTGGCTTGTGTCACCAAAATATGCCATCTAAAATAAAATAAAAAAGTACGGACTATTTACAAATTTTCTAATTCTGAAAAGCAAAGATTTAATTGAAAACAAAAATTATTTTTCTGTTAAAAATTGTAACTCTAGAAAATAAAATCTCCACTTGCAATATGACTTCATGAATGAAAAATGAAACAAAGGAGAAGCATTTCAAAATCTTGTCAAATGTCAACAAAATAACTTGAAATTTAACAAAACGACAGATTATAAAGGCCAGCGATGTACTTATAACAGCTTAAGGTGGTAAATAATACATACTTGTCCACTGCAAAGCAGAAGTAGGCGATCAAACATGTAAAATATCTGACTGGAAGGTTGGTGTACTGTGATTATCACTGTTTTGTTTTCTTTTTCAGCGTACTCCTTTAATGTAGACATTAGGGAGAAAGCGGTGCTGGAATCCAAGCCTGATGTCGGCTCCTAAATTATCGAAAACAAATAAACATTTTGTTTAAAAACGGACCTTCAATTCCTAAATCACACATAAACTCTTATTTCATGGAAGACTCCCCCCCCCCTTTTTTTTAAATTTGTCTCCCGAGACACACCTTTCTCTCTGGATTTTTGGCAATTGGGCCCTATTTTCTGACGAGTTCAATAGATGTGTAATGAATATGGTTGTTTGTCGTAATACAGGGTTAATTATACAGAGGATTGAGAACGTTATATCAAAACGATTTTGAATATACAAATCAGAAGCTCACTTAACAAACAGAACCAATAGAAAGTCGCGGTGGAACGCCACGTATCTGAACTATGGTTTTCCATTGTTTGGTGTTATGTAGATAGTGTGATGCCACCACAAAATTAATCACTTTTCAGAAAGTTATGTAAAATATCTGACTGGAAGGTTGGTGGACTGTGATTGTCACTGTTGCAAAATATTCATACAATCAGATCACAAAGATGTGTTCAAATTAGAGTTTAGTATTTCCACAACGGATGTACCCCTTATACTTAATGACATTGGAAACAAATGAATAATGATCAACTTGGGGCACCAGGACCATCCAAAAAGAGACCTGCAACAAGTTGTACCCCAGACATAGTAAGCAACGCGCCGTATCTTGTAACAGGTTGGAAATACACGAACGTAAAGTGGCAAAAACCGCCCACGTGTCCAAGGCAACAGTACGTAACATAATTAAAAATAATTTACGTTTGAAAATGCTACAAAATCACGTAAACACAAGTTTCTTCCACAACATATCCGTTTAACAGTTAGATAATTGTTACAAACAGCTGGAGAATGAAATGTGTATTCATGCTATGCCATAGAAAGACATAACAGTCAATTCGCCAGACACAGCGCTTACGGGTTCCTGTGCAATCGGACTGTTGAAACAGGCATGAGATAGAGTCTTTCTAGTACAGTAGATGGAATACTAAAAGCATGCAAGGAGTACTAATGTGCTTTTGACATGACAACCTTACGACGGAGCCTTTTGCAATGAAAACTACGCTACAGGCCTATTGTCAAGATTCACTGTCGTCAGTTAGACCATGACTGGCCATGGCAACATGGAGTGTAACGATATTGTGAGGCTCTAAAATCGTTTTAACATAACGTTCTCAACTTCTGTACATATAGAAGGACTCTTATTTTTTAAAGATGTTGATAGGTGAGACCTTAATTTAGTAAAATTAGAAACAAAACTTTAAAGAAATATGACAACGGAAAAATATAGTAATAGTTACATTCTTACGTTTTCATATCTGTATTTGATAAATAATCTTTAAATTAGTGGACATGTATCAAGGGCTTTCAGATACTTATTTAAACATTCTAAAATATATAAAAACAATTAAAATTACATCACAAGTTTTATATCAAAATATGAATGAAAGTACCCGAAAACGACTACAAACTTAGCATGGGAAAATGTTTTGTTTTGAATAATTATTGATTTAGAAAATCAGCTGTGTTCATGTACAAACAACAAAAGATTAATAAAAAATACAAGTAATTTCAAACATTGCCAACAGATGGCAACAAACAGAGGACATGAATAGGAACTTCTGATACATACATCTAGTAACATGGTGGTGGGGTTTGTCAGAAGCTCACTGGCAATGTTGGCTCTTTTTTTCTCTCCTCCAGAAAGTCCGCGTTTCATCATATCCCCTATTACTGTGTAAGAATAAGAAAATTTAAACCTTGTAAATATTACAATAATCAATGGAAGGCGGCATCATATTTTATATAATTTCGTAAATATGGTGTAGCTTAACAAGAACTTAATTACGTATCTGGTAAACCAAAATAAACTTGAGAGAAGAAAAACCTGTTAGGAAATCCATCTGGAGTCTAGGGATTGACGACGTTTTGATGCCTCTGCTAAGACCTCAGTCTCGTCTTACACTCCGAGCAAGTGTAGTTCATATAGGTTCAAATCCATTACAATCTATACGCGTCCTTAAAATTCTTTAAAGAACTGGTAATTATTTTAGGCACAATTGTTTTTACACTTTTTCAGTTTTAAATCTCGTCAGATTTTCAAACTTCTTTAATAAAAGCAAATTTTATATTGATATAAAATAATAATTTGAATTCCCCCTTTATTGTTTTTGTTTCCCTTTTTTTTAGTGCAAAGCTGCACAATGAACTATCTACACCACGGGAAATCTAACCTCGGATTTTAGCGATATAAACCCTCCAATCACAAAAGCATACATCTTAAAATCACTATATATTTCATTCACTAAATAAAGTCCTACTGTTATTATCAAATGTATCATCTGTATATGAAGCTTTTCCTTGAAACAGTACGAGTCAGTACAAACCCCTTTACCTAAATATTTATCTTAAAGTGTTAGAAAATGGCGGTACCCTTCTATCTTAGCTGGGCCAATGCCAGTCTAAATGTTACATCTTTCGTGGATATAAAGAAATCTATACTTTGTTATATGAAAGAAGATATGATCTATTTACCTACTTTTATAATAACCTTAATTACTTTAAAAATAAATGCACAAAAGACATCACTTTAAATCATCCAACCCTGAACTTGACGCTGTGGCAAGCTGCCAACTCGACCCAGTATCGCCATCTGCTGGATTATAATTTGAAATGTTGGTCTGTTCGAATAACGTCAAAGGCAGGCAAGGCACTCATTAATTACTGTCAAAAGGTTCGTATACAGAACATTTTATTTTTATGAGGCACGAGTAAGAAAAGTTCTGTGATACCGATAACACAACCAATTCATTAATTATTGTCAAGAGCAAGAAATTTTTTTCTTCACCAAGTTCAAGCACCATGAATTCATAACATGCAACAAAATATATGTAGTAATATCAGCTACTCTGGCGTTCTTGAAGCCTTGAGAAGAGCTCGATCGGACAGACATTTATTCACTAATTTTAGAGCTTGAAATTAATTTTTGTTGGAAAACTTAATTGGAAGTGACATATAGCTGCGTTTCTGAACATTGTCAGTTTAATAAAAAAAATAACATAACCAACAGAAAGGACATATAAAAAGTGACAGCCATCCAAGAAGTCAATAAGGTTTAATTGCTCACTTACTCTATGATTACTTGTTTCAACTATTATTTTGTATCTAATTCCTCTGCTCAAGAAATACACCACAAAGTTTCGAAAAACAACTGTTAAATTTAACATACAGTATTTTCCTTGACCCCAATCGATCTCGCTACAAAAGATGTAAAGGTCTCTCATATATTTCACACTTCTCTCTGTAATATACTTTTATGTGTGTTTATCATTTTCGTGCATATAAATTTCGTGTTTACTGAAATCTAAACGCTACCTACACGAGAGGCGAGTATGATTACTACTGTCAGAAATTGGTAGTTTAAAGTAATATAGCCCCGTAAAACAGGTGATGTTAGGAGTATGACAAATAAAAACATGCGAGTATCCCCTACCTCTCAAAAACAACAACCACCTTCAAGATTCATACAACGGCTGAGCTTCAATAATTTTAAGGTTTGGTCTACGTTTGTATGATAATGGACACTGCCTAATCAGTGAGAAATGTTGGATGAAACTAAAACTTAACAGTGTCTTGACAGCTGCCGAGATCCAATACTTCTAAGATGTGGTCCACGTAATCCATCTTTTCACATCACAGTAAAATGTTGGACGAAACTAAAACTTACCAGTGTCTTGACAGCGGCCAAGATCTAATACATCTAAGATGTGGTCCACGTACTCCATCTTTTCACGGTAAGATATGTAGTCGGGAAGTCTCAATAAAGCAGAATACTGAAATGCGGAATATTGCTTTTTAATGAACATATTATTTCAACCGATATATTATTCATATTTCAGGAGAAAAATAGCAGTTTACTGAAATTTAAAATATTAACAGAAAACTATATAATACGAACAAAACATAGCATTACTCCTTAGCCTAAGCAAGCGCATCTTCCCAAACAAAGTGAGGCTTAACGTTCAGTGTACTGTCCTTTATACATCTACGTACAATCACTTTTATATTATTTTATAGTAAAAAGACTGTTTGAGGTTCTCCAACTCGACCTCTTTACTTCCTCGGATAAATCTCGTTATATAAAGACCAACTGATATCGATTAGAAATGATGTAGACCTACGCTGTACATGGTTTGTTATATATTATATATACATTTTTATTTCACATGTATTATAGGACCTTACAAATCAGAAAATATTCAAAAAGTGCAGCCAAATGAAACGATTAAATATTCGTTCAAAACACTTTTTATTTGATAATACTTGTTTACCATAGTGAAACTAGTATGCATTATTTTGTGATTTAAATCTATAAGGTAACAATAAAATCGTATCAAGACATAATAAAAAAGTATTGTTAAGATTCGTTTAAACGGGCTAAACTAAAGACTCGTATAGGTTAATAGTAAACTAAGTGTAATATAGAACAAGAAGAAAGATACCAGTTTTTCACTGGTTCACTTTAGTTCCACTCTCTCCTTTCATGGATAAACAAACAGGAGAGAAGGATATGACGTCATCATGGATAGAGACGAGGATAATTAGTTATGGTTGACTGACTGGGTCTTATGTGAACATTGACGTCATTATTTGATTCTTGCGTATTTGCATATAGATAGCGCGAACACCCACAGTAATTTCGAAATATTTATTCAGTACTTTAAAAAAAAATTATTACTGGTTACTTCTTCTAAGTTCTAAAGGTCAGATAACATTAACAAATAATGTTTGTAAAAAAACAAAATTTTAACGAAAAAAATATTAAGCAACTAGATGGCGCTCGGATCACGTGCTAAACTATTTTAAAAAAAGAAGTATCGTATGGTTCAACGTATGAAACATGCGATTCGCGTTCTCTTTTTTTTTTTTTAAGTCAATTTTAAAACTGTACGTTATTTTCTACCAGTTAAGACGACTAACCAATCATATCAAACATCTTTAGATATTCATTTGACTTAGGCTTAGATATAAGGCTTAATAATAAACTTTTGAAAATTAAAACCCATTTATGACAAGGTCGTTTATAAGTTTCGCGCAAAATTACACAAGCAAAGCTTTTCCGAATTTTCAACTGATAGATTAGGGAGATGGCAGCTATTCAACAGAAACCCACCGCCAACTTTTAAGCTATTACTGTCCGATTGAACAGTAAGGTTTGACAGTCACTTTTATAGAGCACACACGACCCGAAAGTGCGGAGCGCGTTTTTTTTTGTGTGTTCTTGACAATGGGACGCGAACCATGAATCATTGGATTCACAGTATCCAGGCATGCTGACCACATGAAACAGAAAAGGTCAATCTAAATATAAATACGACACAAAGCACGTTGGATCATTTCGGTGTAATAACATTCACAGATCGCATGGTTAGATCTCACTGACTGTCCCTGTATAAAACGGCAAATTCTATTTCTACTTTTCTTCAATCTGAAATTTTCTTTCCTTAAAATTGCCGAGTATTGCAACATTATCACTTTGTAAAGCGGCAATCCACCATCTACGGCTGTGAAAAAAGTTATTTTGTGAAACGGGGGGGGGGGATATCGATGACTATAATCGTCTATACAAAAAACAACAACAAAAAAATTATTCCTCCCAATACCCGAGATAACTGTGCAGAAAGAACTCTCGTGAAATTTTCCAGACTTAATATATATAACACCGGAAAGACAGAGCACACATTCTTGGATATTTTGATACAAGATTGTTAAAGAAGAGATAGGATGAGGGGGGGGGGGATAAAATAGATGTATTGGTTACTCTAAAGAAAGATAAACTTTAACTATATGTTCAGTGCAGTGACGGGAAACTTTTAGTTCATTATCAGAGCAGTTAACAATGAAAGTTATTACGTGGCCACAGGGTATGACAGTTATTACGTGGGTGCCTCAAAAGACCGCAAGAAGACTCCGAAAGAAACAGTTAAGTGTAATTGTAACTTAGAGTACATTAAAGTTTTCTCGGGCCTTTTTTTTATCTTCTTTTTTATTGGTAAATTTCATGGAAAGTTTTTGTGGTTTTTTTTTTCCGAATGTTTCTAGGAATTTTGGGGAGTTGAAAGCACTTTGGTGTAAACGGCCTGTAAAAAGGGGCTATGAACTGGCCACTTAAAATCGCTCACACCTGTTGTGGGTTCGGCGTCTAATGACGCGTTGTCTCCTGATGGGGTTAGGGAGTTCAACAACGGGGTTCCCCCCTAATGACATTTCTCTAAACTGTAACTCACTTTCACTCAGCTAGCTGCCTGAACGAGGGAGGGAAGGTTTGGTTTATTTGGAAATCTCATATCAAGCGCGCGCGCGCGTGTGTGTGTGTTAACCTTTTAACACAAAAGCAACTCCACTGTGACGTTACTATAAGCATTCGAAAGAAAAATACCAGCCTTTCAGACCACAATATAGAGGAATTAGGCAAAGTTGCCACAGACGAAAGCTTCTACTCTAAACTCCGGTTTTTTTCTGTACAATAATACAACCAGATGGAAGAAATAGAAGGTTTTGTTGTGGAAAAGACCTAATGCATGGCATTCTCTTTAATTTGTCTTGCTACTTGTTCACTTCGATTGAAGAAAAACCAGTTTAATCTTTCACGTCTGTCATTAGAAAACGTGTACGTACGAGCTTATTGTATAAACACTTCTTAGAAACTCAATATTCATGGTGTTCACCCAGAAGATTCACGTGAATAAACGCGCTTTCCCAATTTTCAGTGTACAAGTGTTAGGAAAGCATTTATATAAAGCATTTTTATTATTGTTGATTTTTTCATTGTGAAAGAAAGCTCGTGTTGATAATGAATCCCATTAGTCGGATAATAATAGCTTTAGTTTCTTCAAATGTACCGGAATATGTAGAAGCGATTTATTCGGTATTAACATCCCAAATACCTGACATTTTATTTTCTAACTGTAGTGATTAATATTCTATAACGTGTTTCTTTCAGTTTTTAATAATGTTTCATACTACTTGTTTTATATATTAACGTTCTATACGACATTACTGATTAAATATCTATATTACAGGTAACGTTCTATACGGTATCACTGTTTAAAGATCTATATTACAGGTAACGTTCTATA